CTCGGCCACGCCCCCTCCATTCTCCCCGGGCCGGGGTTGCCCCGGCGACGCCGCGACGCGGCCCTCCTCTTCTCGCGCGCCCTCGCTCCGCCCCCCTCGGTGGGCGGGGACTCCGCTGCTTCCGCGGCAAAATTCGAAACGCCCGCCCACTTCCCTTCCCAGCACAAGGGAGGGGGGAGGGGGACGGACTCCAAAGACCAGCAGGCGGCTAGCGGCCCAGAGAGATGGGTGTTGTAGTTAGGGTTTTTTTTTTTTAATTCTTGTCTCTTTTTTTTCTTATTCCAAACTCTTCATCCCAGGTGACATTTTATATATTCAGGAAATTTATTTCTCAAACCGACATACATTTTAACATTTTGTATATTGATCTTTGCCTTCATATTGCCTCTTAACGATGTAAGATGCCTCCTTATTGACTGTTTATTCAATATCTGTGGTTTGAAATATTGTCTTGTAATGATGATGATCATAGCCACTGTTGTATACTCGTTGTTTTCAGTTTTAAATATTGCCTTTCATTGTTGTAAGCCGCCTTGGGTCCTTTCCAAGGAGGAAAAACTGGTTAAAAAATATTTTAAAATAAATAAATAAAGTATCTTTTCCGCCCACCAAACTGCGGCACAAGAAATGCTATTGAAATAACAAATGAGAGGAAAAGGTAAAGGCCGTCTCTCTGGCGCTGCCTCTCCCCTCCTTTAAAAAAAACAAGGATACAATCAAGTCTTTTTGTGGCACCTGAGCCTAGGATATCCTGGGCAGCAGAGTTGGGGCTGCAGTCCCCAAAAACATGCCATGAGATGCCTCTTTCTCGTTTGTGCCTTCAAAGAAATGGGGTGATGGGGGGGAGTGCCCCCCAAGCCTCGCCAAAGAAATCTCGACAGCCATTAATGGGATACAAAACCCCGTGGAGTTTGCAGCCTGAATGTGGCCACCACTTCTAGAAAGGCATGGAATAATGCAGTTTTTCCCTGACTGCTGGAAGATCAAGCAGGACAGAGATACTGTTAAAACAAGAAAGCCTGTTTGCCAAACAAGAGGAGTATTTACTCCCGAGGCCTGCTTCAATGTTGCTATTCCATTCTTCTGTTTTTAAAAACTTCCTGCTTTTAACTATAAAGGAGATCCTTTTTGGTTACCCTTTGGAACACACTTCACAGGGTAGAGGTAACCAAGCCGGGCACTCTCCAGATGTTCCAGATCACTGCCTGCAACAGCTCATCCAGTCTGGGGCTGATAGGGACTGTAGTCCAAGAACACGGGGGGGGGGACGACAACAGCAGGTTCTCTGCCCCTGTGCCAGGGAGTGCAGTGGACCTCCACCCGGGGCCTACTTCAGAGCAGGCATGCAGATTAATTTGGCTCTATGAAAGGAGTTGATCTTTTTGGATAAACTGCAAACCACTTTATATCCCCCTCAGAGCAGAAACCCATCTAGCCCCATATCATCTGCTCCGTACCGATCGGCTGATCCTATCGATTTTGCAGCTGGGAGAAGAGCAGAAGAGGGTGCAAAAATGGTGCAAAAATACCCTGGAAGAAGAAATATCCTGGATCAGCTTGGAGGCCCATCTAACCCAGAATTTGCTCCCACAGTGAGCAGCCAGTTCACTTGGGAATGAGCGACCCACCTCATCCCATTCCGGTCCCTTCTCACCCACCCGGATGCTGGCATATATGGGCACTCTCCCACTCTGAATAGTAGCCATTCATGAGTCAAGACGCTAACGTGCAAGAATTTATCAAAGCCCCTTTCCAGTCTGGGAAGCCCTCGCCTGTTTCTAGCCGCAGAGAGATCCGCAGTTGAACTGCTGCCTCTACCCAGAAGCCTTTTCAAAGCCATGGAAAAGCCATGAAAAACACCCTCTCTTCTGCCCTTTATTGGGGGCGGGGGTTAAAGAAAGAAAAATGTTATTAAAAACTTGTTGATTTTTATTTTAATTTTTAATTTTAATTTCCTGTTTATACTTTTCCATCTTGCATGATACTAATATTATTGATCTAAATTGTTGTTTTAATTGTTATTATGATATTTTACTGTAAGCCGCCCAGAGCAGACATTGTCGAAATGGGCAGGATCAAAATGGGCGGGATAAACATAAAATAAATAAAATAAAATAAAAACAACACAATGTGTGTTTGAAACCAGAGCTTGGGACTTTTCTTTAAACTAGCAACTCCCAGAATTCCACACTAGCTAGGGGATTCTGGGAGAGGTAATCTCAACCAATAACTATCCTGAGTTCAAGACAAATACCCCGATAAATTCTGAAAAGCGGCAGGCGGAGTACTCTTAAGTCCTCATTTGCTGGTCTTCCATTGAAGCTCCACCACACGAAGGAGTCTTATATTCTTCAGCATTGTTATCCTTTTAAAAAAAAAAGTGCAAATAACAACAATAATAATCCACTCTCCTTTCTTGATACAGGCAAAAGGAGTATACAACGTCAGCGCTAAAAATCCCCCCCTGCACCCCTTTTTTGGGCATCCTATCTGCCTTTTAATGGCTGGCCTGCAGAACCGCAGCAATTTCCCTGCGAATTTAAAAGCTGGGGGCACGCACACCTATTCTTTGGCTCTGAATGCATTCAAAAGCCCCTTTTGTACAAAGTTATTGACTTATCAAGGTTAAAATGCATTCGGCACAGTCCAAGGAAACAGGGATAAGTCGGCATTACGCTGTCATCCAGAGATCTGTTTTCATGGCAACCACCCTCCTTTTCTGCACATTGAATAGTTCAGTTGTGCAAAGTTCAGACATTACATAAACAGAGAAGTAACAACAACAAGCAAAATCAATGGGCGCACAGGCATGGAAAAAGGAGATAACATTGATCGGCCAGGCCATCAATACGTGGGGATCATTACTTCTTGCCCTCTGCAAAAGCCGGCCCATACTGGCAGAGAAAACAATAGGTTGAAGGACATGGCAGGAGAAAACACAGCTCTGCGTAGCGACCTACCCTTCAAGCAGCTAGGTTTTAATTAATAGATGCTCCTTAGCCATTGCTGAAGCTGAATATCACTAAATCCCCAGGATATTTAAGCCACTTCACAGACACCCAAACCCTCACCAGGCTCGGAACTGAACTCATGAACCGAAAATAATTATCTGTGTCCATAATTTTGGAGAAGATAGATTTAACTCATTGTGCAATTTGACGATGAGCAGAATGGACGCATCCACAGACTTGGGTGAGAAGCTAGACAGAATACTGTACTGTAAAGGCGGTGTTAAAGGACAATTGACTCAAATTCAGGGAAGCAAATGGGCTGCAGCAATCAACAGTCCTGGTCGGAAAAGAGCGGACAAGCTAGCTGAGGCTCCGTGGGTAGCACAATTCGGAAAAGGACCCTTCATCACTTTTTCAGAAGGCTTTTGTGGGAGGACACACACCCCCGTCCCCAAGTTGGCTTCACATTCAAAGTCTGAGATCTAGGCTGAGGGCAGGACCGTAGCTGCTGCACGAGCCCTCCATCAAATCACACTATAAGGGAAACCATTATTCCCAGCTCTTCCCAAACTGTCTTTCCCAGCATGCAGTTTCTTCAAAGTGGCTCGCTCTGCTTACCTCCTGTGTACCAACAACAAAAAAACCCAAAGCAACGTAATCTGCAGGGTGAAGAAGGAGGCAAGCTTGTGCTGGGAGAAACAGAGGTCTTTTCTCTCTCAAGACAGCTCCGCTCTCAATGACGTGCTCACAGCACCTGCCAGTTTGGCTCTGGCAGAGGAAGAATTTGAAGAGCAGCGGCAGAAGCAGCAGCTGCTTGAAGGCAAAGGGGTTTATACACAGTACCTGCCAGTTTGGCTACGGCAGAGGAAGCAGAAACAGCAGCTGCTTGAAGGCAAAGGGGTTTATCCTCCAAGGGCCCATACCCAACGTCAACATGTATATGGTCTTTAAGGCAGAAGACTCTTTGACGTCAACATGTACTGTATATGGTCTTTAAGGCAGAAGACTCTTGCCAGTGTCATTCTCCAAAACATGATGATTTTTAGTTCTATTTTCTACTTGAAAACTGGGGAGGGGGTAGGGGAACCCACTCCCTTATCCCCAAGGGGAAGGGTCTCGGTGGCTGGTTCTTGTCCAACAGGGACGCAACAGGCGAACATGGACAAAATAAATGACAGAATAAAATAGGGAGGCTGCCTACAGATGGAGGCAGGATTGCCATTGGACATCAAGGCAGGATTTAGGGTCAGTTCCCATAAGCAAAGAGGTCAAGAGGTCAACGGCTTGTTCGCTATGTTGATTCTCCCTCATGCCTGGTCTGCTGCCTTTATTTCTGGTCTCCCAAGAATGATTCAGCT